CTTGCCTCAGGATCTCTCGACTCGACTGTTTTGTGTTTGGTTTTCCACCAAACACTTGTGTTTTGCCCTTGAGGGGCAGGGAGTAGCTTGATGGCCATCCCCACACATCACCGGCCTTGTCTTGAGGCCACCGGCTGTGTTCTGTTTCCATCGGCCAAATGTTTGGCCGGTCGGCAGTCTGTTTGGTTGGCCGGCCACTGATTTTGGTCAATCGGCCACTTTTTCTGGCCGAGCCCTTTATTTATAGATGGTGTTGCAGCAAGAAATAGGCCTATAGTCACCAACATTCATAGGATTAGGAATTTTGGGAATAAGAGCAATGATGGTGCTATTGATCTCCGAGAGGAGTTTACCAGAGTCAAAAAATGACTTAATGGCAAGGGTAACCTCCTTCCCAACAATATCCCACGAGCTTTTGAAGAAACCAGCTGAATACCCATCAGGGCCAGGAGCTTTATTGGCTTTGAGAGACCAAAAAACCTCCTTGATTTCAGCATCCGAAATAGGTTTAGCCAAAAGAGCCGATTGAGAAATAGAAACCTTATTTTTCACCAACGATTTAATGCGCTCAAGACCATTGTACTCCCCCGAGATAGGGGTACCAAACAACTTGGTATAGAACTGGACAAAAGTATCATGAATATCAGTTATCTTAGTGGACTTAGTACCATCTTCCATAACCACACTCATGATTTTACCTCTATTAATATTACTCTTAACAGACCTAAAAAAGAAGCTGCTATTCCTATCCCCTAGACCAAGCCATTGGACTCTGGATTTTTGAAGAGCAAGACACTCTTCCAAATTGCTGAGATCAATGTATCTTTTCAACTCCTCTCTTTCCTTAGATTGAAGCTCACAATTCAAAGGATCCTTGTCAAGCTTAATTTGAGCAAGATCCAAACTAGCCTTAGAGATAATGACACGAGTGGACAGATCACTGAAGTCTTTTTTATTAAGAAGCTTAAGGCTGGCTTTGAGTTGTCTTAGCTTCTGACAAATCCTGAACATAGGGACACCACGAATATATTGAAACCAGGTATTAGAAACAGTGCTAAGAAAATCTGGGTGTTGAGACCAGAAGTCAAAGTATTTGAAAGGTTTCTTAAAGGAGCTACTGTTAACACTGATGTTGACCACAACAGATGAGTGATCAGAAATACCAGCCGGGAGAAAAGTAGCCATAGACTCAGGAAACTTATCCAGCCAGGCCTCATTAACCAGAACTTTGTCAATCTTGGTCGCTATGAAAGCTCCCTCACTCCTTTTATTAGCCCATGTGAATTGGCATCCACCATAAGATAGATCAGCCAATTCAAATGCGTTAATATAGGTATTAAACTCCTCATTTTCAGAAGTCCAGGAAGGAGAACCCCCAATTTTTTCCTGTTGGTATCTTATAGCATTAAAATCACCCAAGAAAATACAAGGAATTTTGGACTTAGCACGAGAGATGTTAAACATTGTATCAAAAAATACTTTCCTCAAAGTGTGCTTATTTGCAGCATAGACAAAAACAGCAAAACAATATTCATTTGTAGCCAAGTCAAGAATTTTACACAAAATATGCTGATTTGACATGGAAATCTGTTGAAGATCACAAAAATCATTGTTCCAGCACACCCAGACTCTCCCAGTTTCAGTTGGTTGTGAATTGGAGAGCATAGACCAGTTACCAAAACATTTTCCACAAATTTTCCTCTCATTGGGTTGCTTTATTTTAGTTTCCAAAACTCCCATGACATGAACATTTTCTTTAGACACAAAATTCTTAACTTCTTTTTGTTTAGAGGGATCATTCAAACCTCTAACATTCCATGAAGCAATTTTAACAGTCATTGGGATACAAAAAGGAGAGGTGACAAAAAAACCACAACCAACTGAAACTGGTTACTTCTTCTTCTTCCTCTGGCTGCTGCTACCTTTGCCAGAGGACTTGTTCTTTATATGCTGGTTTACCTGAGCTACAGTAGGTGACTTCTTTACCTCCTTCAGAGCTGACTCTAACATTTCAGCAGCATTAGGTATCACCAGCTTTGTAATCTCGAAAATCTTCTTTTGAAATCTATCCACATCACTACTGTCAGAACTTACTTCTTCCACAGAGGAGCTCTTCTCGGCCGGATCCTCCTGTAACACTTGATTATGAGCTGAAACAGCCAAAGGCTCTGTAGCTGAGGTAGGTATGGGCTCCGTATCTGAAGGGATTTCAGGGAACTCCACCACTTCAGGTATAGTCTCTAATTCAGGATCCCCCACTTTCCTTTTACCCTTCGCATGAACAGTGGTCTAACCTTCTTCCTGAGGGTTAACATTCTCTTCGGTTACCTTTTGCAAGGAAATCAACTGGGCCACTTGTTTTGGTCACTCTCACGAAGAGGTTCTCCAACTTTCCTTTTACCCTTATCTTTCACTTTAGTCTATCCATCATCCTCAACAGATTTCTCCTCCGTGATCTTTTGTAGTTCAATAAGTTTGGTCACCTAAGCAGACAAACAACTCTTGGTCTCGTGGCCAAAAACATTGCAATGTGCACATCTCGTTGGGACTCCTTGATATTCAACTCTGATATCCACACATTCTCCTTCACTTGTAATCCTAAAACTCTCAGGAAGATAAGAATCAGCTTCAATGTTAACACAAACTCTAGCAAAGGAGCTTCTGTCTCCTGAAGAAGTCAATTGGTCCATAAACAAAGGTACACCAACTGCACTTGCTATCCTACTAAGACCATTACCATCACAGTATTCCATGGGGACATTAAAGAATTTCACCCAAATTGGGATTTTAGTGGATTTCTCCTTGGCAAGCTTCATCATTCTCTTCCACTGTTTCAAGATGAGGAGGTAACCCCCAATATACCATGGGCCTCCCTTTAGATCGTCTCTACAGCATTCAGGGGTATCAAATATGAAGAACATGAAGCCATCCCCATTTGTAAGAACTTCCTTAAGGCCCTTAGCCTTCCACAACCCAAACGCACTATTCTGAAGATAATTATACCCAACTCCTTTATCAATAAAATAGCCAACGAGACAGGAATCCCATTTCTCCAAAGGATCAGGTCTAGCTGGCATTTCTACCACAATACTATCTTCTACAGCAGTTGGAGGGACATACCTGAGCTTGATGTTTGATCGAGTAGAAGCAGCAGTAACATTGGCCCATGATCGTTGGTCCATTTGCTCTATTGATCTGCTACCACTAGAGCCCCCGCGACCTCCTCTCCCACTCCGATAACTGCTTCCCCCCCTACCACCTCCCCCGTGAGTGGACTCACCAAGAGGAATCTGGATGTCTGAGATAGGAGCCATATTAGGATCACTCAAAGTGTTCTTGGTTCCCCCCCTATTACGCGCAATCTCCAGGCTATCGGGGAGATTCAGGAAACGATTTTGCTCTTCCTCGACGATTTCAAACCAACTCATACCAATCTCATTACCAATCGGCGTAGATGGTTCCTGACCAAGACCTGGGAGCAACGGAGCCTTCATTTTATCCAAACTTTGCACAGTATCCTTAGATCCGTCATTGATTAGGGATTTAGATAGATCTGAACCCACTAATTCGGAGAACGGAGCCGAAACACCCATTTCTTCAGAACGATTTGCCTCAACATTTACTACCACTTCGTGGTTATGAGCCTCCACACTGGCCAGATCCTCCATCGGAGTACCAACGCAGCGGTCCACGGTTGAAACACCCTCGCCACGGGGTGTAGAGAGATCTGATTCAGAAGCCATCAAGTCGTCACACAATGTCGAAAAACGATTCTTAGTAAACCCTAGATTCCGATCGACTAGACCAGAAATCTTTACAGACTCACGAGCCGAAACACCCATTTCTTCAGAACGATTTGCCTCAACATTTACTACACTTCGTGGTTATGAGCCTCCACACTAGCCAGATCCTTCATCGGAGTACCAACGCAGCGGTCTACGGTTGAAACACCCTCGCCACGGGGTGTAGAGAGATCTGATTCAGAAGCCATGAAGTCGTCACACAAAGTCGTAAAGCGATTCTTAGTAAACCCTAGATTCCGATCGACTAGACCAGAAATCTTTACAGACTCACCCTTAGCATTTTCCCCCACCTTTCTCTCATTAATGGTAGCATTTACTCCAGACATCGGCAATCAATGAGATATTGAACCCTAGAAAACCAGAGTTTTCTAGAGAGATGTCAGAGCTTCTCTCACTAACCCATTTTTTTCCTCTAAAATTTCCTACTTGAAACATAACCCAGGCCTTTAATTTTTGATTAGCCACAATGC